TGTCTAAACCTTTTCTCACTGAAGTCTTGTCGTCTTGTCTTGAAGGGGTCCGCAGCGAAGAGTACACCTGTCTAAACCTTTTCTCACTGAAGTCTTGTCTTGAAGGGGTCCATAAAGAAACATGTTGAAAGTGCCTTTATAAACCTGCTTTGTTTGGGTTTTGTGAAAGACAGGATTGAAGAGAGGTGGCACAAGGATGTAGATGTTGCTCATCACAGTGTGGATGGAAATGAAACCTTAAAAACTCCTGCTTAGAAATATAATGAATTAATCAAACCCTGGAGCCTTTTAGGGAATTCTTATTTGAAGTTTAATGTAAGTCAAAGGAGCAGGCTAACCAGAGGACTATCAGGTATAATCATTTTTATCTGTCCTTATACCCATACTTACCACAATAACAGGAGGAAAAAAAAAACCCAAAACAAAAGAAACCAGTTCACTTTTTAGCATAAGCCAAAAATACTCTTCAATTGACTTTGTGCTGCCCCTGCTGGGGTTATATATGGTGTCAGGCACGATTTTATGTCTCTAGAGGGAATTCTCTGTCGGAAGTGTGAGCATAATAGAGCATTTCAGAAGACAGGTCTTACAGCTGGTGGGATTGGGATATAATCATGACAAAATTCAGGCATCTATGTGATATATTTGTTGTGTTTTCCCACGCTACTTGAAATGAGGATGAATGGTAATGTACTTGTTCTGATTTTGCAGAAGATGCTTTACTGCTTTTGAGAAGTAAATAAAGATGTTGTTTTCTCCAAGAAACAGTATGGAAATACCCAAGCTGCCTAATTGCTCCGTGCTCCTGCAGCAACCATTTCTGGTAGTTTTTCATACTGCACTTTATGTGACAGAAGCATTTGGACAGAAAGTACAAGGGGATCCTTTTTGGCTTGCCTAGGCTATAGGAGAGGGTTGTAATCTACAGGGCCACAAAGCTGAGACTGGAGGATGGGGCCAGCTCTTCTGGCTGTGCTCCGTGAGCTATGTCGTGCAAGGCCTGGCTGGGAACAGGACCACAACTTCTTTCCTGTGTCACTAGCAAAATCTGATGTCATGGCAACTGCTTCAAAAACCTTGAAAAGATCATGTGGATTATTAAGAGATTTTTGATCCGGCCCCCTTGGTAACTTTGGAGAAATGAAAGTTTGAAACCCCAGAGTGACTTATCATAGCTGATCTGCCTCATCTTTCCTTTTTTCCACCCCCTCACCTCCTCCCACCTCTGTTCAGTGCCCTTCCAGCCCAAATCCTCTTCAATAAAAGAACCAGACACATGCTCATTTTCCATCCCAAACCAGAAGTGGCAAGGATAATGTTTCTGAGCTGATGACGAGTTTCTCTGTCATATCGCAAAGACTCATCTGGCCAGAAGTGCGGGAGTTCTCACTGTCCGGCACAAGATGAACTCAGAAAACAATTTGTTCTCTTTTTGTTTTCGTTGGCAGCCTTTTATCATGTCTCGCCTTCAGTCTTCCTTTGTGCAGGCTGAACGACCACTGCTGTGCAGACAGGTCAGCCACGTGCCCCTGTGGCCACGGCAGCCCTTCAGCAGCGGGTGGCTGTGGTGGTCCTCCAGGTTGCATCTGCAGGGACAGAGGTGGAGCACATCACCGAGACGTGCTCCAAAGCTTTCCCGTTACTTCTGCGGCAGTGCTCAGGGCCGCACAGACCACCGCGAGCACTGCAAAGCACCCGCTCAGATGAAGACTTTCTGTCAATATGCTCACCCTGTCCTACTCGGCACTCCTACCACTTGCTCCACGTAGTAGCCACGTGCTGCCTGGTTGTGTCTCAATCAAACAAACATCTTTGTTCCTGATTTTCCCTTCCTCTGTCCCACATCTTCCAGGGAAGAGGAGGACTGTGGGGCAATCAAGGTGGACAGCTTTGTGGATGGGCACTGGGGGGGCAGGATGCCCAGCCTCTCGGGCAGCCCCATGGGTGGAGGATGGGACTTTTCACAGTTTAATGAATATTTATCCAGGCCAGAACAGTCGATGAGCAGAGTGAACAAAACAATTGTTTTAGTTTGGAGAAGAGGAGGCTGAGAGGAGACCTTATCGCTCTCTACAACTACCTGTAAGGGGGTTGTGGCGACGAGGGGGTTGGTCTCTTCTCCCAAGTAACTAGTGGTAGGATGAGAGGAAATGGCCTCAAGTTGCACTAGGGGAGGTTTAGATTGGATATTCGGAAAAATTTCTTCACCGAGAGGGTGGTCAGGCATTGGCACAGGCTGCCCAGGGAGGTGGTGGAGTCGCCATCTCTGGAAGTGTTCAAAAAACGTGTGGATGGGGCACTTGGGGACATGGTTTAGGGGACATGGTGGCACTGGATTAATGGTTGGACTTGATGATCTTGAAGGTCCTTTCCAACCTAGTGATTCTGTGATTCTGTGATTCTGTAATTATTTTTATTTTTACGGGACATCCAAAGCACATTTATGGATTATGAGGATGAGGTACATATTCAAGTCTGTACACCCAGATTCAAATACTTAAATCTATATTTTCATGTTGAAGATAATTAGAGCACACTGGAAAGCTGTCTGCTAATTTAACTTATCAAGCTAATTCTTTAGCTGGCAAAGTGAAGAGTGGAGGCACAGATGTCTGGAGCTTTGTCTGAGAAGTGGGGCAGTTGGAAATAGACTAATTCCATTTTTCATGGCACACTAATGAGTTTAACCACATGCCCTCCAGTTAAACAATGCCATGTTCCCTGTTTACATTGACAGATGGAGCGTGAATTCCTTGAGAGCTGAGGGCTGGAAAAGTTTAATTTCTTCCACATAAGCCACTGCAGCCCCTGAAAAGAGCAGCAGACAAGCCAGGCAAATAGTTAGCATAGGTTAGAGGAATGTTTTATAGCTTTTTTTTTTTTTTTTTACCTGCAACCCCAAAAGGTACCGTCCCTGTATTCAAAGTTTAAACCCTGTAAGCATAGCTTTTCTTTTATGATTTGTATTTCACATCGCACATAGCAGTATTTCCCTGAGGTACTGTGGGTTGTGGATTGGAAGATCTTGGCTGTCAGTTCTGTAGAAGAAAGAAGAGCTGGGTTTGTGTACACAGCGCTTAATTAACTGTTAGCTGTAATAACAACATACCTGCTAAGAATTATAGTTGCTGTGTATGTTACTAACACACATATTGACTGAAATAGCTGTCACTTTGAGTAGCTTGACGGGTTATCAGTCCTTTCCAACCCTAGTGATCCTGTGACTCTGTAACTCTGTGATCAACCCAACACCACCATGCCCACTAACCCATGTCCTGAAGTGCCCCATCCACACGTTTTCTGAACACCTCCAGTGATGGAGACTCCACCACCTCCCTGGGCAGCCTGTGACAATGCTTGACCACGCTCTCCGTAAATAAATGTTTCCTAATATCTAATCTAATCTCCCTGTCGTGGTTTAGCCCCAGCCGGCAACTATGCCCCATGCAGCCGCTCGCTCACTCCCCCTCCCACAGTGGGACGGGGGAGAGAATTGGGAAAAACCTCGTGGGTTGAGGTAAAAACAGTTTAATAGGACAGCAAGAGAGAAGGAAACAACAATGATAACAACAATAGTAATACCAACAAAGGAATGTACAAGAACAAGTGATGCCCAATACAGCAATTGCTCACCACCCCGTGATCGACAGCCCGTCCCCGAGCAGCAATTCCCGCCCCTCGGCCAACTCCAGTTTATGTACTGGGCACGATGTCATGCTATGGAATATCTCTTTGGCCAGCCTGGGTCAGCTGTCCCGGCTGTGTCCCCTCCCAGCTCCCCGTGCACCCCCAGCCTGCTCGCTGCAGGCCAGCACGAGAAGCTGGACTGTCCTTGGCTGCTCAGCAACAACCCAAAACATCAGCACATTATCAACAGTTTCTCATCCCAAATCCAAAACATAGCCTCACACCGGCTTCTGTGAAGAAAATTAACTCTATCCTGGCTGAAACCAGGACACTACCACATGCAAAACCCCTTGGGTCGTCTGTGTCCTACATCAGTGCCTTCTTGGAGTGAGAAGTTTGTGTATGCCTCCACAGATCTGTTTAGTTTTTACACTGTAAGTAATGGGGTTTAGCACAAGGGGTAGAAGAAGGTAGATATTGGCTGTGAGGACGTGAATCAGAGGAGAGGCAGATTTCCCAAACCTGTACACCATGGACAAGCCAATCATTGGGATGTAATAAATCAAAACAGCATGGAGACGAGAGATGCAGGAGTTCAGGGCCTTGAGAGGCTCTTCCTTGGACGTGATACTCAGCACAGTCTTTGTGATCGTGACTTAGGACAGGATGACAGACAGCAAGTCTAGCCCAAAGGTGGCCAGAACAACAAATAAGCCATACATGTTATTCACCTTGATATCTGCACAGGGCAGCTGGAGTAAGGTGGGGTGCAAACAGGAGGAGTGAGCCAGCACATGGGACCTGCAGAATGACAGCTTCTTCAGAAGTATCAGCAAGGGGACCAAGAGACTAATGCTCACCGTGAGCCCCACCCTGATGACACCTAGCCTGGGGCTGGTCAGGATGGATGCATACTGCAAGGGGTTGTAGATGGCCGTGAAGCAGTTGAAGGCCATGGCCCACAGCACCACAGAGTTCAGGATGAAGAACATCAGGGCAAGGCAGGCATCAAACCTGATCTCCCGTGAATCAAGGATCAGCGTGCTCAGCGCTGTGGGGAGCACAGAGACACACCAAGCTTTGCGGTAGCCAGCATGCACAGGAAGAGGTGCATGGGCTCATGGAGGCTGCGGTCTGCTTTGATGACAAAGAGGATCGCACTGTTCCACAGCATGGAAATAACATACATGCAGCAGAAAGGGACAGCAAGCCACATGTTCCCACTTTCCATTCCTGGGGTTCCTGTTAGAAGGAAGGTAGAAGGTCCAAGGAAGATACTGTTGGTCATTTTCCTAGTGCAACATCTTCGTCCTGTCAAAGATCAAGCAGCAGATACCACTCATCCTACAAAAGAATCATAAATGCCACAGAAATTGTAAAAGAGTAATCATGCCATAAAGCAAAGCCTTCTTCATGTCTCTCTCACTGGGGTGATGGGGATCCAGACTTCTGAGTTTGCTGAGACAGCAAGAGGGCATTTTACCTTTGTGATTCGTTCTGGGCATGGAAAACTACAGCTCCCGAAAGTCAGAAAGCTTATGGAGGTGGAGGGACACAGTACCTCGCTGATGGTTGAATTAGGGGTTTCTCTATGCCAGGACACAGAGAGCCGTTTGCTAGGTTGACAGATGTGATACTGTATTGACTGTGTTGCACCAGAGGGCAAAAAGACTTGGGAGGTGGCATCATGAACGAAGGATGAAAGAAGGCTTGTATCTCATACAGAGAGCCCACCTCTGGACTTGGGCGTCATGGAGGGAGTTCACTGGTCCTTGCTCTGGCTTTTCCTTGTCCTGTAGAAGAGCAAGAGAAGGAGCACCGTGCAGTACCTAGCCCTGAGCGCTGGCATGGCCAGGTGACTGCCTCGCCTGGATAACTGAGTGTGGCTTCCAGTGCTTTCATAAAGATTCCCATATCCCTCCTGTGCGGGTGTTGCCGGGCACGTCTTCTCTGCTGGCTGTGAGCTTCATCCTCATTTTACATACTTTTTTTTTTTAGTTCTTTGCACCTCTATTTTCTTTCTTACTGTGAATGAATATCAGGCTTGGTGATCTTTTCCTTCCCTAAAAATAACCTTGGCAGCAACGACCTGATATATGTGCCTTTGCACCAAGTGGTTTCTGCATTTTTGAGGACAGTGCACAGCTGAGAGCCCAGATAGTGCAGCAACATATTGCAGGATCCAGCCAACAAGCATTCACCAGTGTCCTGCCAAAAAGCAGCTTGGTGAACATCTGGTAGCCCAAGAGCAAAAGATTTTGGACGTGGATGTTCTCGTATGTACAAATGCAAGTGCTGTTTTCCAGTGTAAATGGAGTAAACAGCAAACAAATCACCCTCTCACAGGGAGGAGAGCTCTGGCAGCTCCCCGTGGTGTACAGGAACCACTCCTGCATGCTGAGCAGAGAAGATTTCAGTCCTACTACCCACCTTGCCAAGCGGTAACACAGGCAAGGCTTGTCCTTCCTTACAGGTCACTGTCCCCCCACCCCGTTGCAGGCGCCTGTTGTGCAGGCATCAGCATCTCAGCTGGTTGTCTGGACCCCACCAACCACACTGGGGAACTGGCACTGCCAGAAGGCATTTTGTCTCACCCTGACGCTTACCCTGGTCAGATGAACGGTGCTCACAGCCCTCACTGCAAGAAAAGCCTCTGAGCTTTTCATTCCATGCGCATTACAATCTCTTCATTACATGCGCACTGCTCCCTGTAAAACCGATAATCGCTTTGACACTACAGTAACACTGACAAAGTTATCTGAAATTATCTAACAGCTGACATGTGGAAAGCAGCCCAGAAAAAGCAGATCACTTTGCCTTAAATACGGAGCAATAACCCAATGTGAGCTGCCTGAGCATCTTGCCTCCAGGCTGCCAGTGAACGCGTCTTTATATCGCCACTCCACAAAATCCCACAGGACTCCCAAGCTCACCGGATACTTCTGATTCTTTTTTTTTTTTTTTTTTGTTGATCCACTCTCTCAAAGGAGATGATGCAAGCATACTATTAAGAGCGAATCCCAGTGTCAAGTGGGAGGCTACTGTGGAATTGCCTTGGGTTAGCACCAGGAGCTAAATAGGACTAGAAACTAGGTACGAAGTCAAAGCAGGACTTGAATATGGTGTTGGCTTCTGGCTTCAACAAGGAGACATCAGACAGGAGGAAACTTTCCTGGAGACCCTCTAGGGGTAAGAAGGACAGATGTGAACCTACCAAGATGAGAGAGTGATGGTGGCAAGATCTCCCTTTCCTGGCAGCTGGGGCCTCAGGCACCATTGTCAGGAGATGAAGCTCCTGGAAACGCTAATCTACCCATTAAAATATTCAGGTTTGGCATTTTTCAGCAATGGGATCATTTGTTGCCTTTGTATTTCAAAGCACCACCCCAAAGCTGTACATCCCCCACCCTGTGAAAGTGTGCTTGTGTTCCTGGTTTGGGTACAGACCTCCTTGGCTTTCCCACCGCTTTCTCCAGGCAGCTTACCTGCAGCGTTATCATTGACTGGAGGGCACTGCTGACCCCTTCCCACCACAACAACCACCCTGTCCATACTGTGCAATGATCCAGATGTCACAGACAGCTTTATTTAGAGAGAAGGGAATCCTAACGTAGGAGCCTAAGCGGTTGGTGCCGAGTATCTGGTATTATGTGCCGGTGATGGCTTGCATGCACACATCTCACAGGTCACAAGGAGCTACATGAGTCAGCCAGTCACCCTTGCACATACCTGACCAGCAACAATCCACTGCTGTCATTTCTTACTTAGAAAGGGCATCTCTTAGAAGACCCAGACCTTTGCCACTGGAAGAGACAGCATGGTGGAATGGATGGACATTGGTCATGAGGGCAACTCCCATGTTCTTAATGAAAATGAAAACAACATTTTTTGTGGAGCCTGCAGAAAAATAGGGGTTTTACCTCACCAGAGTGATGGTGGATGAGCACCAGTCCACAAGACATGGTGCAGCCCTGCTTTATGAAGTGAGTGCTCTGAGAGCAGCGCTTAGATGAAGTGCAGTTGTATCTCTCCTCCTTTGGCTTCCACTGCCTCTCCTATGTGGACTGTGAAAACCTACTTCTGTTTTATCTGAAGAAGGATGAGCTGAGTTAAAATTGAAGAATTCTACTGAAATGGTGCCAAAAATACACTAATTTGCCATTTTGTCTTCAGCCTAACAACTGCTTCGCTTCAGCAGAAGTGCATGTTCTCTTCCCGGGGCTGCCCCTCCTCCTTCCCCGCTCACGGAGAGATAGCAGAGCCTGGAGGTTCCTATGGGTGGCCATGATAGTCAAGGCTGCTCAGGAAGATAGGGAACTCCAAGAAATGCCAGGCCAGGTCAGAGATCTCCTCTCCATCCATTACTACTCTTCAGTTTGCACTAAAAATAGAGCAAAGGTCTGTTAACATGCTTGACTTTTGTAGCTTGAGTTTCATAACTTGAGTATGGGTCGTCTGACCTTCACCTCATTCTGTTGTCTACCTTTTTCAGATATAGTGCAGTGATTTTGTAAAACATTTTTGCCTGCTTATTGGGATAGTGGACCTTAATATTACTATAGTGCAATCCTATTAGCAACGATCTCCCTGTGATAGGTCACTCCAAATAATTGCATCAGCCAGGATTTCTGATATTTTTGAAAGGGTTTACATTTATATGGGAATTTTTGAATTTGCTGGCATAGGATTATTGTAGGTTTTTCCTTCCTTACAAAAAGAAGGTTAATGCTTAAAACTGAATTCTACCCATTTCCTTCTACAAGGACAGTGACCATTTCCACCCATCTGAGCACCTTCCCATAGAATAATAGAATCATTTATAATTATAGAATAATTTGGACTGGAAGGAACCTTCCAATCCAGTCCATCTAGTCCAATCAATTCCATCTAGTCCAACCCGCTGCCATGAGCAGGG